ACCAATGAGCAATTAAACCACTCCAGGAAAAGATTTTTCAACATCAACAGGGTGGCCATACAACACGCAATCGCGCCAAAAACCAGCGCAGAACACATATCGCCACATTTGGTGAAGTTAGTGCGCATATAAGAGTAGAGCCACTCTTTGAAATAATTATAATAATAATTAATTCAGAAAATGAAACTCGAATTTCAAGAATTTTTTAGGTACTTTATTTAGTAGCCTCCTATTGCATCTTCTTATTATTTTGAATCCTGATATATGTTCAAATTCAGATGCAAAAATCTTAAATTTTTTGTAAATTTTTTTTTCTGCAACATTTATTTATTTTTATGAAAAGTATCAGTGTGCGATTGTTTTCGAGATTACTTACTTTATATGTATGATAATTATCATGCCTTTATTACCACTCCTTTATATATATATATTTAAGATATAAAAATAAAAAAGGAAACTACTAACTTTAATGCTGCAATAGCCCCTTTATTCCTCATTTTAACTTGGGTACTTCCTTTTCATCCTAAAAATGGTAACGATTTATAATATATCATTCTAAACTGTGTTTCAAAATTAATCCGCATCGTGCTTTTTTACGTAATCATGTAAAGCATAGGTAAAGATTTCTATTAAAAAACCTAAACTTTCTGACTCTCCAATGCTTCTTCTGAATGCGCAGTTATTTTCCTTGCATATTTGGCTACTGCTAATACGTTGCGGATAACTTCTGTCGATGATTCCTTGTCTTAAGATGTAAGCTTCCAAAAATTTCTGGGGTGCATATTGTCCCCATAATAAATATAATCCCATAATAAATAATCCAGTAATAAAAGTATGTGAATCTACGGCTATGTCTATCTTCTGCGTAACAATATGTATCAAAAATGGCCTCATTCTTGCGGTTGCTGTTTTATGTGTAGCAAATAGCTCAGTACTTACGAACTGTCTGACTGTTAGGAAAAAAAGGTTTTGCTGTAGTGTTCGGGTAGCACTTAAAAATGTCCTTCTTGATCCTGCACCTGATCTGAATGATGATGATTGAATTCAGCGATTGCGCCGACCTCTGAGTTCTCCGTGAAATCTCAACCAGTCCTCCCATCTAGACGTGAAGAATTTCTGAAGGATTTCCCTACTTCTCATAAGAAATGCAAAATTAAGAGGTCTTCAGCTCCCAAAGCTGTGTCGGATACTGATAAGAAAAATGTTCCTGTTCAACAGAAAGAGAGGGAATTGAATCCGGAACGATTGGAAAGGGTGATGAATGCCATTAAATAATTTGGAATAGATAGTGATCTTCCGGCGATAAGGCCAGTGATGAAACCAGAGGTAAACGTTCATGCAGAAAGTGATGACTTAAAACGCCTCGCACGCACGGTCCCACTTCAGAAGTTAAAAGAGACAGTGAATGGAAATTGCCGAAAAATCCAGCAAAAGCTCCCTCAAACACCGAACCCATGGATATAACTCAAGTGAACGGTTTTTAAACATTTGAGAAACAGGAAGAAACAGATGAGTATGCTGAAAGAAAGTTTTGAAAAAATTCCGTCCATAGAGTTTTGTCAGGAGACATCTGATTAGCTAAAACTTGCTTAATGTTTTCGTCACATTTTCAAAGATGAACACGAAGCTCATATGAAAACAAGATCTATTTTCGTTTATGTGAAAAACCTCAACGGGGTTTAGGATTATAATTAAAATTTTAAGTGAAAGGAATATTTCATTCCATACGTATCAAATTTCAGGTGAAAGAAATATTCGAGTTATCACGAAAAACCTGCCTGCCTCTGTAAATGAAGAAGCCAACTATAACGACCTAGAGCGAAGAAAGTTTCTAATTTTGTAAGTTAAACAAATCTCCAAACCCCCCTCCCCCCCAAAAAAAAAGGAGTTCAAGAAAAATTACCTATCGTCTTTCTCGATTTCAAAAATAACAAATCAGGAAATGCCACTTTTAACCTGAACAGTATGCTCAGCGTTAACGTAGGAATCCAACGATTCACTTCAAGTAAAGCAGCCAACGCATTGTTTCCATTGCCAGGTGTATAGACATACACAGCATTATTTATTGCAATGATCTGCAAATGCGGAAAAGAGCACATACGCCGTTTCTGTCCTAAGAAGCCAGACCAGAAATCCCCATGCATTTTTTGCGGAAAGAACATGTTAGCAGCTAACAGAGGCTGTAAAGTTTACAAGAAAAAATTTGAACAGAAAAAAAATCAGAAGAAAATAATTTCCCCCGGAAATGACAAGTAAAGACTTTCCTGAACTGCCTAAATCTGATATGAAGCCAGTAGAAATCACAAAAATACTCTACAGAGTAAAAAAGGTAAAGGCACTCGTAAGCAAACTCCATAAACACTGAATGGTACAATTAACGGGATTTTCCACACAAATATCCAGAAATTACTTGAAAATGTGATTCAACAAATTACCATCATACTCAAATTGCATGCAAGCCGAATGTTCACTGTGAAAGCAGCCGACTGTCCAATACAAAAACATTTAAAAACAAAACGAAGGGAAAAAAAAAGGAAAAAAAAGTGCAAATAATTTTTAAATTTCACTTATTGAATATTTATTGAAATACAAAGGTTTTATTTTCTGTCTAAAGGTTGTTAGCTGCAAGAAGTTTCACTTTGTAATTCAAACGTATTGGCAGATACATATTAAGTTTTAGAATGACATTTATCAGGTAATTCCAATGTGTTGAATTAACCACTAAATAACTTACCTTAACTAAAAATTTCAGAATACTAAAGCTCCACCAGGTGCCGACTAACAAAACTAAATTTACTGACGGAACCAACGTGAGAAATTCGCCCACTTTACCTTAATCTCGCGGCCTGGTATGCAAGCATACAGTGACAAAGATCCAATATATCCATTCTGTCTTTTTTTCTTCAACATCAGGTGCTCGCATAAGCTCAGTATGTATTTTTGTCTTTAAAACTATAAACATTGTGTCTGCAAGAAATACATAACTGAAATATAACCGCGGACCGCATAAAATTGCTTTGGGGCCAGTATGGGGGCCGCGAGTTTGAAGTCAATGCTCTGGTGAATGACAATATTATATAGCCTGGAGAAACGAACAATTTATATGATTGGGTCACTGTTCAATTACATCCAGTCTGTGAATTTAAGGAAGGAATAAAATCATTTAGACTTGATAATGACGGAGAAGTATGGTTACTTATTAGAAATGGATTTGGAACAATCGAAACAATTTCCTGACCTCCTTCGTGACTATCCGCTAGTATCCAGAAAATGTAAACAAATCCTGATGTATAATATACTTTCGTCTTATTGCAAAACGATGGTAGAAAGTCAGTGTATATTAGTACTTCTAGAAATATTAGATATTTCATTCTAACTTATAAGTTGACACAAAACAGCAGATACCTGAGATTTTTTTTTTTATTTCGAAAAGGGATTTACTTAAATTAATGAACAATCCCCGTATTTGGAAAGACAGGAGAAAATTTGAGAAACCGTTTCGATATACCAGTAGAGAATGAAATATGCTTAAGAAACTTTTACGATATCTGCTTAAGTTTGTAGACTAAACGTAAAAAAACAAAGTTTAAAATAAACCGACCTATAAAAGTCGATCTTTTGTTATAGTTTTACACGGAAGACCTACGCTAAAAATGTTAAATTGCTGTATACGATACTGATTGATTATGCTGCGAGATTAAAAAAGATTATATATATATATATAATAAAGACTATTTTACGTCATCTAATTTTTCTAAAATTCACTTATTCCGCTAAGAAGGGAAAATGAAATACGATTCTCAAGTGATCCTGCTCCTGTTTGTAAGAAAGATATATAGTCTTGTACTGATACTAGATAGATAGAGAAGAACATACTCACGCAAGGTGATTCTAAGTATCGTTTCCCACTAGTTGCAGAGTAGTTAAGATCGCTGAATATTGGTAGTTCGTTCTGTGTTTGAACGTAGTAGAACGGATTGGCTGCATGGATGTTTTAAGTGGGGTTTTTCCATGTGTAACGTCATTACAAGCCAGTTTCCATTAGCAAAATCCTCCACGAATGCTTCTCTTCCTTTAGGGCAGTAGCCTTTGCGTGCTTTCCCACAGAGGGGTTATTAGCTTGATCCTCACTTTCTTTTTCCCATATCACTTTTCGAATAAAAGATGTAGCCAGCGAATGTTATCGCCCTGTATTATTCTTAAACAAATAATATATGAAATTTAGAAATTGTAGGGAAGGATCAATGAAAGGATGTTGCCACCAGACGTCATCTCCACGTACAATGTTTAAAGAAATAATGCAGGAAATATATAAAACGCATGGCAACACTTAATACTCTATCGGGAATTCTAAGGATATGCTGTTTTAAATATTTTGTAACTTTGCTATTGCATTTTAGTGGCGTAAATGGGAAAAAAAAGTGATGTTTAAGAGTTAAAAGACAAAGTTTAATGATAAAAAGACAAAGTTGTGTAAATCATCTTACTAAAAAACTTGACATAGATATGATGAAATGAGAAAAGGCTTAAAAAACAAAGAAATGTTCTGCAACATTTAACACACTAATCGAGAATTCTGAAAATATGCTTGTTTTAAAAAAATTATTACTCTACTGTCGAATTTTATGTGACGTAAGTGCGAAGAAAGGAATGCCTAATAATAAACGGAAAAAAGAGAAAGATGTTAGAAAGAGTGAGTCCAAGGGCAAATTGGTAAATTGCGAGCTCACCGAGAGCAAAGAAATTTTTAGTAAACCTTAGGTGTGTTGTTAAAATTTGAATCCTTTTAGATTTTCTTTTCTTTCTATTTTTGTATATATATTGAAATATCAACAAATTTCAAATAATATATATACATATTTATTTATTTTTACTTCATTTAGTGTTTTAACTAATTTAAAGTATAAGGTGACCAAATCCTTCCGTGATTCACTGTGTATCTATGGGTATGTAATTTGAAGATGTAGATTTTAATCTAAAAAAACATTTATTTATCTAAGGTTTGCAACGTATGCTCAAGTCACTTCCAGGTCACCTTAGACTGAAAGACTCCCAGAGGCAATGCTGAGTTCTGCATCTTTTTAGCTGGTAAGTGCAACTTTTATACGATCTGTGACCTCTAGTTTTTCATTTGTATTTCCGGTAGAGTATTGAAATAAAATGCAGTCAGGAAGTAAAATGGTGTATTAAATAGTATAATTTTTGATTCATAAATTTATTTTTTTCGCGTCTCGTAACAGATACCTTAGAACAAATGCTAAAATAGCATGATAGGATTAAATAAGGTAGGCATATTGGGAAGGAGAGGCGGTTGTGTGCAAAACAGGTGTACAGCTATGAGTCTGAGAAATAAAGATGTCTTTCAGAAAGATATATGCATGATAGATCTTGATCAAGAATTAATCCGTAGGTGGATAAATGAACAATTTGGTTCGTTTGCTGTTGTTGTGATTTATTTTTCTCAGTTGTGATTTATTTTATTCAGTAACATCAGAATAAGATCACGAATTTTACCGTAACGAGGAATGCGTCTGTCGTTTATATGTCCTTGGGTACCTTTTAGATGACAGCACATTTATTATAACTACATAGTTTGCTCTTCCGTAACGTCACTTGTCTCACCAGTCCGATCAAAAACAACCATTCCCTACTCCCTTTGTGTCTTCCTTGCTCCTACTTTGTAGTCTTGTTCTTTTTGAAAGCATAAACTTTAGATCCTACTGAAGACGAAGTAGCGAATTCTCATTGTGTCTCAAAACAGATGACTGCAGACGAAGGTTTTAACAGCCTAAACTGATCAAAACATACACTCACTCGGTGCTCACAAATTAGCCACCAGTTGTGGCTATGTAACTTGAACACAAAATAGTATGTACAATCGCAATGAATTAAATTTTATCTACACGACTGGCTTCCATGCCGTTAATCGGCTTCAAAAAGCAAAACCGAGCCTAGAATATCAGTATAATCTAACGTAAATGGCCAGCACAAAATATTCAGCTGCAGAGCTACTTTCAAACACGCGGCATAAGTTCAGAACTAACTGTTCTTTTCAAATACTATTTCCGAACTCATTTAGATTTGCATATACGTCATTAAATTTGCATTCTGTCAGGAAATTGAAATCAGAAGAGAAAGGAAAGTTTCTTAAAATAAGAATAATGGTTAATACAAAATAAAGTCTTTACAACTTCTGCTCGTCAAGTGCAGTCGCTGAGTTTGAGCGCTGGAAAGAGCTAACCCATGTTTCTCTACTGACCTTGGGCGACAATACGACTTTGCCCAGTTCCGTCCCAATTTTGAAAAAGAATCCCTTGAGGGACTGTCCAACTGCCTCCCACTACGTTTCCCTACCACTCGAGGACTTTCGGCTCGCTGTCAATTTTAAGTGCCCCAATACCTCAAGGATACAAACGCTTACAAGCATTCACTTCTCCTGCATTCGAACCCCGACCTAATTATACCGCAGGCAGCCACTATACCGATTAGGGCGGCTGTTTATTCTTGGAACACGGAAAAACACACAAGGGATATCTGTCTAAGAATATATTGATATAGGTCTCTTAAATGGCTATCATTATCATCAGATTCATTCCCCTAATCAAAACAGATCTTCCCCTAATGGATATTTTCTTTGAAGCTGCCAATATATCACTCTCGTTTATTGAGGGGCTAGTTTAATTCACTTAAGCCTCAAGGGAGGGATGCCTAAAGGAAAGGAAGAGGGCTTTATAAGAGAAATCGTATCCCATTCAGTACCTATAAAGCACTTATGAATCTCTCTTTCTCGAGCATTTGTATCTGGATAGAACTGCTAGTGTTTAGCGGTCTTATCCACTCGGCTATAATTGGGCGTTTTGTGATAGGATTCAATTCATAAGAAAAACATGGTAAGAAATTTACCAAAATGAAGAACGCTCTGCTAAAGTGCGTTTGAGTGTAAGAAATAAACAAGAGAATATATATGCAAATATCGAAGACCAACAATTTGAACTAAAAAATATTTATTTCATTGACTCAAGCTCTAGCAACAAATTTGTAATTATTCAGCATGTTCATCTTTCATAATAATGTGTGCAGACCGTTCAATTTGGGGAGGGGGAAATTTGTTTCAATTGGTGTTTTCCATAGTTAAGTCTAGTAAATTCATTTGACTGAAGTGCATATATATCGATATTTTAAATAACGGGAAGACGTAAGTTGACTGGTACCGGTGGCTCGAACTTATTCAGTAGTCAGTTCAGCAGCTTCTTTGAAACAGATTTTTGTAAATGAATTGCGGTATCATTAATGGCCCTTTGTTGTGTATGAAATTTGCAGCTGTTTTTCTTAATTTGTTTACTTTTATTCTTCCTTTTTGAAGTCAAGGAAAAAAAATGAAAATTCGAAAAATAATCTTTAGCCCTTCACGAAGGGAGACATGCGAGGGCATTACTCTTCTAAAACAGCTCTCCTTTGAAGGCTTTGCCATAATTAATTTACCATATCAAAATAATGGCCCAAGAATGCTATTCCAAATTAATTTCCTGTTTCTTCTTACAAATAATTTTAATAGAAACTGATAGAGCTCTATAAAAATTCCTATATAACGTTATAGGATTCTTGAATAAAAAACTCTGTATAAATGCTTTTCTATAAAATTCCTCAGAAATTTTTATAACGCTTCTTCGGAACAGGACTCTATAAAAGTGTTGCTTTGCAAAATCAATTAAACCATTACGGAATGGTATTCTGTACAAATCTTTAAAGTTTTTCTAACTGTTATCAAAGTAATATTTTTTTCTGATAGGCTACACGGAAAATAAACGCTTTGTATTCATAAATGTTGAATCATTTTTGAATGAAAAATTTTGTTTTTACTCTTTTTCTTCTATCTTAACCTTCTTTAGGTTCTATGTTTATGTAATAATTTGTGCAGTTTTTTCCACGGTATTGCTCATATAATATGGAATTTAAATCTTTTGAAAGCGTAAAATTAAATAATTATTTAGAAAGCTAAATCATAAAATTATTTAAAATTTGTGCTGTTAATTACATAAAAAATATCATTCCTGAAATTAGTGATATTAATTATTGTAGACATATTCTTGACAAAAGAAATGTTTTTTATTTTAATTAAACTTAAAATGTACTTATTTTTATTTAAATACTTTCTGATGTTAAAATTTTTTTATCAGAAAAAAATCACATCTGTTTTAAAAGTTTTTATCCCCTTACCCCGCCTTGTCTTAGGTGATTTCTAAATTTAGATTAAAAAATTTTATTCGATAAAGAATCTTAATTCGTTCTTCTTTTATCTTAATTCATTCTATTCCTTTAAAAAGGAATTTGATTTTATAACTGTTTTAAACACTCAAAAACTTCAATAGGACTTTTTGTAGCAAACTAAAAAAGGCCGCCAGAGGCTGAGAGATAAATGCGTTGAACACCGGTAATTCGACCTGGATTCGATTCCAGGCAAATGGGCTGGCTGTATGGGAGTTTCCGTGGTTTTCATGTAACCATGTGTAACGTAGATATGAGCCAGTTTCGGTTCAAAATCCCTTCATGAATTCATAATGAATAAGAAGATAGCTTGACGTAATTTGCCATAATCATAAGGAGTAAAAAAGAAATTTAAAGTAAGGAAACTTGTTTAAAATTCTTTAGAATTAAGGCCCAGGTTTCAATAAACTGCATCTCATATTTTAATTAGAACTGTAACATATCATGTAAGATTCTACATATGGGACTTTTTGAAATTGTAAAATGTTTTATAGAATGTCTTTCCAAATCTGTATAAAAATCTACACATACCTATAAAATTTCTATAAAGATTTATATATAGAATCTACACTGCTGGCCATTAAAACTGTAATACCATGAAGGAAAGCAAATAAAAAACAGATATTTATTGTACACAAACAGTACGGAATGAAGAAAAAATGATTAAATTTGTAAGCAATTTGGGGATTTACAGGAGGCGAAATTAGTAGAAACAGGCGCCACCCCTGGCAGCTAAAACGGCCCTTACCCGGTTAGGTATGAAGTCGAACTGGGCTTGGATGACAGAAACGGGCAACTCATTCCATGCTGCTTCAAGCCTATGCTACACATCATGAAGCGTATAAGCTGGAGAGATGTGGCAGGGCGGTATTTCAGCAACCCATTACCAGATGTTTTCAGTGGGTGACAGATGCGTGTCGTGTACCCAATGGCTGCCCAAACCATCACATCAGGTGCAGGGCGCCTATACCGAAATCGAAAGCAAGCAGGCGATGTACGGTCTCCTCGAAGCCTCCAAACACGTATTCAAAATACTGCATGCAGAACTGGGAGTCGTCTGAAAAGACGACATTACGCCACTCCTTTATCCAGCTTTGTCGTTCGGCGAACCACTGTCTCTCTCTATGCTGCATTGTCAAGGGAAGCCGAGGCAATGATTGCCCTGCTGATAGTCCACCACCGTACGAGCGGATACTGGGCGTGCTGCAAACTTTTCCTGAATAATGGTCCGTGATGTGGTTGCACGGTTTTGCAGGGCTGACCTCACAGTATGTCTGTCCTCTTGGACGTTATTCATGGGAGGGCGTTGAGATTCTCATGCCGTTCAGTATGACTCTCAGCAACCCATTAATTCCATATTCACATGACAGTGGTTGGATGTCGACCAGTGCGACGGGCGATATCACGGAAAGAAAATCCACACTCTCGATAAGCAGTGATCCTACCTCTATCGAATTCCGACACTTGCTGGGAAGCATTTCTTCTTAGTATTCGAGGCATAACACGATATTCTGAGCAAACCCCGACTTTACAAAGCGCTTTCCGAATGAGAAATCTACTACACAACTTTTCTTTTACGCAGTGCTTCAGATGTCATTTCTCCATCCTGTGCCGTCTAAATGCGTTGAAATACTAATCATTTGCATATCTCAACCTCTTCTTCCTTTGATGTTAGTTTGACGTTCATCAGTTATTCTTCTTGGTGTTGCAATTGAAATGGCCAGTAGTATATATATAAAACTTTATAGAATTCTATAGAAGATCTTTGCACAGATTTACGGAAAATTTGGCCATAATTATAAAGTATTTTAAAAGCGTTTAAC